CTTCAATCCAACTGCCAGGGCGTGTCTGATGAAGTGGAAACATTGGTGACATTCGACCAGGAATTCCAGTACGGTTCTATACCAGTGGGAAGGTGTGATAAACCAGATAGCTCGGTGCGTCGGCATGTGTCACTGGGCACTTCGGGGCAGTCTCCAAGCTAGGAGCTCTTCTCTAATGGCTAGGTGGGGGTGCTGCTGGCAGATTATGTCCCTACTGTTTGCCTCCTGTTGATGGAGATTTGGCGTCGTTGACGTATATCCTTGAGAGTGCCTTTTTGAAAAGATCCGCTTTCTGTAATATCTGGGGGAACAACGCCGTATTTAGGTGAAGGTCCCACTTCCGATACGTAGTCGTAGCTTGATCTGTCTTGTTCCTTCCTGTGTCTGCGCACTCGCGGGGTGAGCCACTATCTGTTTCCTCGCTGACAGGGGAGGGAGTAATGGATATGGCAGCAATCGCATCCCCAGATCCGGCCCTGTCTCCACCAAAGCTGGGGCCGCGAGAACCTGACAGCATTCCGCTCACTATGGCTCGCAGTGGGAGCACTTCTAGTTCGGAAAGCGCAGATTCCCGTCAGCAGCGACAGCCACACCTGCTCCGGTTGCAGGGTCATGATAAGAAGTGGCAGGAATGGCGTGATTGGCTGATGACTCCTTGGGTTGCTGGAATGAAGACTTGGCAATTGCTGCTTCTGGTAAACCAAACTGGATCTTGCGAAGAGTCGTCTGTATCTCTTGTCCTAAGCATCGAAACATCTCCTTCAGGTTTAGCTTGCTTGTGTATATTGATTCGCTGACGCGATCTGCCTTGCGTTTTGTCCTTATGATCTTCGTCATCTCTCCACCCGCAGGCTCTGCTACCCTTCCTGCCAGCGATTACCATCGCTCTGGCGGCATCCCTTCCTATCCTCTTCATCGGAGTGGCAGCAGTGGCCATCACGGGTTTCGCTATGACCCCCATGCTGGTGCTTGCAGCTGTTCTCTTCCTCGCCTTCTTCCCCGCTCAGCGCCGCTGGCTGCTGCAGCTGGTGCAGCGCGTGGCGGCCTCCTTGCATCTGCTTCGGCCGCTTCCTCACGGGCAGCACGTGAAGCACACGGAGAAGCCGCGTGGCGAGGGCTGGAATCTCTCATCCGAACAGCAGCCTGCGCGCTCGCCTACTGTGGAACCTGTTTCTTTGGAATCAGTTTCTCCGTGTGAGGCTGGAAAGCCTGTTGAAAACGGTTCTAGCGTCCGCGCCGTAGTGACAAGCAGCCCTCGCCTTCAAAGCGGCCATGCAGTCGAAACCAGCATTCCCAGTGTGGCGGTATCATATCACCCCACTATTCTTCCTGCAGAGAAGGCGGCGGGGACGGGCGGTGGGGGGGCAAAGATGGGTGAGGGAATGCGAGTGGCTGGCAAAGCTGCATCATCAGCCGGAAACGGTTCGCCCAAGACATCTGTTCGAGTAGCGCTTAGCCCGAGCAGAGGCAAGGCAGAAATTGCTGGTAAAGGTCTCAGTGAAGGAGGATCTCCTGCCAAATCAAAGGAGGGTAATCGGGAGGCTGGCAATGCGAGCAAGAATTTGGCGTCAGTGGAGCAGTCTGTGACTGGAAGCGCTGCAGAAAGGGCGCTCCAACCCGGAACGCCAGGAAGTGGCAATGGGAATGTTACTGCAGGGAAGAAGTCAGGGGCCACTAAGGGCCAACCAAAGTCTCAAGGGAAGAGCAAAGGGAAGAACAAGAGAGGATGACATTGTTCCAGCATGATTCATGGTGATTCACAAAAATAAACGGTAGAGGTTCACAGTTTGTAGGTATGCTTGGATTTCAAAGTTTTTGGATGAATGTACCGTATCTGGATTTATATGCAGTGCTGATCTAACGGTAATAAAAGTTTGGAAAATAACTGACCTGATATAATTCTGAAGTGGAAATAACTGAAGAATATAACTGAATCATACACATGCCTTTTCCTACTACAAACCATGCTGATATCGTAAACATGTTAAATTTCGTCATTTTGAATTCAAACAAATTCTGATTGCATAGACTTGAAACTTGTCAGGTCAAGACGACTAATCATGGAATGCTGATTAACAATCTAGTTCAGGTTGTTTGTAGAGAATTTCTTAGTCAAACTAATCACATTGCACTACACTGAACTAAATTTAAAAATACGTCTGATCTGCACATTATGATTGTTATTATCGATAACAGAACGAAATTACAAAAAATGATAAAAATGGAAGGACATTAGCGAATCAGATTCTAAACAAATGATATTCACAGCAAGGATAAACCTCACAATGCCATCCACCGTTCCACTCGAATCTTGCACCGCGCACAGCAAGGATGACCTCCAGCACGCTGCTGCGAGAGCACAAACACCAGCCAATTGTGAGCGAAACAAGAGAGATCGAAGAAACAGATTATGTAGGGGGTGTTTGTTTACCTGAAGCACGTCTTTGCACACAGTGCAAGTGCAGCGGTGACCGCAAGGGAGAGCTAGCCACAGAGCCCGACGCTCCCAGCAAACCATGCACACCTCCTCGACCCCTCCCCCAGGATTTATTTGCTGGGGCAGTAGGGAACGAGCATCCATCATATTGCACTGCTGAAAAGGTTGCCCCACTGGCAGCTGCTTCGGCACGGGCAGTAGCGGCCGCATAAGTCCAGGACCCAGCGGGGGAAGCGGCTGCTGCATCCATGGAATCTGATGAGCTTGAGCAGTTGTCTGAGAGCGGAACTCCTGCAAAGATAGAGCAAAACATTAACAGCGAGACGAGAGGTTGCTTCTGCAAGGACATGCAGATAAGACTTACCTGGCTCTGGTATGGGTGAAAGCAGTTCGTAGGCAGCATGGGCGCCTGTTTCGGTTGACCATGTGGGTTTTGCATGGCCCACATGTTGTAGGCACCCTGAGCTCTCGGCTCGAGCGGTTTGAGTGATAGAGGCGCGTCTTCCCCGCTGACGTGACTCGGAAGTTTCCGAGTCGAGTCCATCGAGTAGCTTCCCAGCACTGGCTGGGAAGATTCTGCCGCGACTGACGGTTTGTCGCGCGCTCCATGGAATGCCGAACTTTCGGCATCAGTAGCTGGATGAAACGGATCTTGCAGCTTCGAGAGAGCGTCCATGGTGGTATATCCCTCCTGGCCGGAGCTGGGAGGTGAATTGCCGCGAGCAGTCAACGGCATGAACTGGTGCAGAACGGATCCATGCACGTTCACCGGCAGTAGCCCGGCTCCAGAGAAGCCGAAGGGTTTTGCGTTCGCTTGACCAAACATATCGTTCGCGTCAAGCATGTTCAGCGACTTCAGCATCGTCGGATCTGGCGCTGGGCAGCTCATCGATCGATTGCGCACTTCAGGCGTCAGGGATCCGCCCTTATCCGCAGGATCGTCGTTCAGGAAGCTCAGAATGTCGAACTCCAGTCGCGAGTCTTCATGATCGTGACCCTGCGAACCCTGTCCATGCCCGTCGCCTGCTGCAGACGGCGACGGGCGGGCTATTGGGGCAGGGAGATATGGTGGTGGCTGAGGGATGGGGTTGAAGTTGTTAAAATGCTCCGGTTGGCCTCGAATTACAGGAGGGACACTGCTGGGACGATGAATTCTCTGGGCTAGCGCAGCAAGACGCTCATAGCCCGACATGTTTCCTGCTTCAAGTGGCATCGCCTGACCTTTCTGAAGCATCTGAAACGCTGATGCTTGCAGATTCGCGTGGAAGGACCCATAGTTCAGGTCCACGTCTGGGGAGATGCTTCCAAAAGGGCTGGCTTGAATCGTTGGAATGAACGGAAACTTGGGTTTTTCCATGAGCGACTGATTCGGCTGCTCCATTTCGGAAGTTGTTCGGTCACCCATTCCGGAACCATGCGGGGATGTGCTGGGTGGCGCATCTTGTCCAAGAGGACCTCCACCAAAGGTTCCTTGCCCAGCTGCCAATCAAGATTAACGAGCTGTAAGTAATCAAGTGAATATTGACGATGAAAGTGTGTAGTAGGCAAAAAGGAGACTCACCTGGAGGTAGCAGAACCATGTGTGTTGCAGGACCTCGACCAACAGGCACAATCTTCATGCGGCAGATGTCAGACAAAGATCGGACAAAGTCACTTAGTTTCGGATGCCCAATGGTAAGGTGATCAAGCTCCATGCCACAAGTTGCACGGAAGTCGCCCTTCAGCGAAGACAAAGGATACCATTCCCCTTCCTTCAGCCGCCCAGAAACCTGTTGAAGGAATGAAGGCAGCCACTCTCTCAGCCGAATCAGCCACGGGGGAGGTGGACCATCATAAACAGGTGGTGCTTCCATCCCTTCCCCTGTGCCTGCCTCGTCAGTCAGAGAGCTTTCGCAATTGGCACTGCCTTGACCAGAGCTGTTGAAGCTCTCACTCGAATTTGGTGAGAGTGAACAGCTGAAATCCAGTGCTTTCCTCTGTTCTGCCACGTTTGCCGCCTGATTTCCTGCTGCTATCATCAGCGGCCTTGGGATTGCACTCTTTATCTCAACCTGGGGCAGGAAAACGAAGTAACTTAGTTATGTGGATACAGCACAGCCACCACTGAATGCAAAGGAAGACAGCGATACTCACCTTTTTACCAAACAGAATCACGTAGTGCTCTTTCACAGCAGCAGTGACAGACTGTTCGTATTTGAATGTGACAAACCCAAAGCCACGGGATTGAACATGGTCCCCTGACTGACTGCCGATCACAACAGCATCCACCACAGGACCAAAATGCTCCTCAAAGTACTCCCTCAGGTCATCTGTACCAAAAAAAAACAGGACATTAGCATTCCATCATGATGAGAAAACGGCATAATTGGGCATTGCTACTGTCGCATACCTGATTCCACTGATGGTGTTAATCCACCAACAAATATTTTCTTCCCCAGTTCGTCAGGATTTGGCTGCAACCGCGATGAAGTAGGATCAGACTACTGCTGTCCAAATGGTCATACATCTTATCTGTAAACAACACTCACCTTGTATGGTGAACCCTTGAAAGTTCCGCCTCTTTCTAACTGCTGCTCCGCCTTAAAATCACCCAATCCGCCGTGGCGGAGTAGCTCCCTCTCACCATGAGCAAAAAGGCAAGCTTCCCCACGAACACATCTGACGCAGCAAGTCAAACCATGAGGATTGGATTCAGGCAAGGTAAGACTTTTGACACGGTCCTTGCTAGCTAGTACGTACCCTCCAGCCATCCTGTAGTATCTACAAAGCTCCGTTTTTGGTGGAGGAAGGAAACGTGGTGCTGATGGCCTGCAAGTGACTAATAATTAGTTAGAACTTACAAAACAGAAATAGCACACTAAAAAAAGACTGACCGAACTTACAAATCAAAATCTATTGAGCGACCCTTTTTCCTCTTTGGCTTCAGAAGAGAGCATCGAGCACCATGCATAGCAAGCTGTTGTAAGCGTGCGGCCACAGAATCCGGAGGCCCTGCGAAAAAAAAGCTCCTTATATTATTTCATAGAGTGCCAACCCTACTTGAGATATAGTGGAATCCAGGTGCAACAAACCTGCAGAAGTTTCCATTTCCAGAAGCCTTCTCCCTTCCTCGGTGGCAACATCCCAAGGGCGCTCCCCTCTGCATAAATGAAATCACGTGAGTTGACTAGTAACATAAGGTAAATTCGAGATTTTTTTTTTTTTTTTTTTTGGTCGCAAGCAGACCTTGAATTTGTGAAGAGCCTGTCTGCACCCCAGAAGAGCAATATCTTCACACATTCATTGTGGTTGCCTCGTAAAGCCCAGAACAACGGCGTCTCCCGCGCCAGTGTCAGGAAGTAAACTGCAGCAGGCTCTCTCGCAACCATTATCTGACAAGAAAGGTAAATCCGCTGTCAAAAATTGCTTCATGGTTCATAACATAACGGATAGAACAGCAATAATTACCTTCAATGGGTCCGGATGTCCAAATTGAGCAGCAATATGTACAGGCGTCATTCCATCATTGTTTCCCAAGGAAACAGATGAGCCTGCCTCTATGAGCTTCCAGACAACCCTGCAAGCGTACTCACAACAAAGCATTAGACTCTAAACAGCAGCGAGATCAGGCATCTGCATATAAAGTCATCAAACTTGCCCAATGAGGTTCGTTCCAGCAGAGGTACGGAGGCAACAGTGAAGTCCACTGTCTCCGTGGCAATCCGTCTCCAAAACTGAAGCTCCACCATTCACGAGTATTCGGACGAGATCAGCATCAACAGCCTGAAACATGAACACGATGATGTTGAGACAATTAGAACGCAGATGGTTTGAATCCATCACTCAGAGCAGGAAATCATACCCGCGCTGCCTTGATGAGTGGAGGCGTGAGAATGGAGTCAGGCCGGAAACCTGCCGGCCTTCTGTCCGTCCTGTTCAATATTGGCCTCCATAATGCAATCAACTCAAGCTCCTTGATTGCAACTTCGCGGCTCAGCCGCCAGCCATAAGCAGACACGCGGCTTTCTGCAGACATAAGTGCAATGTCCACAAGCATGTCGACTAAAGCGGTGTCTTCCCCATTCAGTTGAAACACCATATTAACGAGAGAATCCCCCACAGCAAGCAGAAGAGCAGCAAAATTTTCTAATATGCCACTCCAAGTCAGGTCCAAAACAAGCCTCCGAGCATCTCCCGAGTGCTTGAAAAGCAAACGAACCACATTCAATTCCTGCATGACATCGAGATCTGGTTAAAAACACTTCGGATTCTCGAATACTAGATAATGGGAGCACCACTGGTCTCACCTGGATGTTCACTCGACTAAACAAACCCTCCAAAGTCTTGATTTCAAGAGGTTGCAACTTTGTCCTGCACAAGTATTGGCAAAAACGTGAGCTTACATAAACGAAAGAGAAAAGTAGATTGCATGCTAAGTCAAACATACCCGATGCTTTCCAAAACAGCATCAACAGCACGCTTGCCATCTCTGCATATAATCTCAGGATTGGCTCTTCGACGCAGGAGTAACTCAAGGCACTGAACGCTTCCGCTAACAGCAGCATTTCTCAAACACGACACGCCAGTGTCATCAGGCTGATCAAGAGAGAGCCGTTGACCATCATCCGACCTCCATTCAAGAAGAAACGCGAGACAGCTCACAGCATCCACCTTTACAGCATGATGCAAGACAGTAGCCACTTTCTGAAGCAAGTTGGAACCATTTTCTTGGCCCCACAGTCTCAAGGTTGCATTTAAAGCTTCAGCATTGTCCTCCGTGAGTACAGACGCCAGATTTCCAATACTGATGTCAAAATGGAGCTGAAAACTGTCACTAGACGCAGGGACGCAGCGCTGTTCAGAACCCATGTTACTGATCTTCTGAGTTCCGGGATCACAAAATGTAGCAGCATCAGCAGAGAATGTTTGAGGAGAAAATGAAGATGACCCTTGAAATGCGTGAAAGTTTCGCAAGGACTCCATTTTAAGCTGCAAGAAACATGACGGAAAATCATCAGCATTTCCTCCATAAACTTCGATTCAAAGAGTGTCAAAAGACGTACCTCGCACACATGGATTGTCGTTGATTGCCAAAAGAATAGGTGGAATGGTTGTTGGAGTAAAAAAATGATAATGAAGGGGGGTATCCGAGGCCTTTCGACGGACACCTTTGTTCTAAGTAATTTCCAAGGAAGTAGCCTCCCTCAGAACCTACATAAATGAAAGGATCGCCGAGTACATGAGATGAGATTAGCTTCAGCTGAAAGATGAAGAACAGAGTGTCCGTCCCACGCAACCTGCACTAGTTAGGCAATGGTCGCCCGATTGCCATGGCAATCTCCATGTCAACCACCATGACAACCTCCATGATGGATCATCCTCACGGAACCGCGCCATGGAATTCCAAATGCTCAGATTCCATTCATCCGCAATCCAGTATGTCCTTGGCGCGCTCCGTGCATGCCGCGGTTGGGGCCCACATGACGTGGAGAGCAAAATACGAACGCCAGTTCGAGCTTTGAGGCTCTCACGGAACTACCAAGGACTGATCCACACCTTCGTCGAGAAAGACTCTGTACTCATAGAAAGTATTGTTAAAGCCTAAGGTTATCTAAGAAGCCGGAACAAAACAAAAATAAAACGCATACAGAACTTGGAAAAGAGAACAATCAGCCTTATTTTGTTTGTTTGACTGTTTTTATTTATCTATTATATATAACGAAGCCTTTAATTTTACACCGTACCGATATTTATCATTTCATTGTTGTGGACTAGAATCTCAAGGCTGATCGTTGTTTTGTACTGCATATGTTAATATTTCCATCGTTGCTTTGCTTCCAAAATTATGTTCGGAATTGATTTTTACAAGGATGCAATGTAGAGAAGCAAGAGCCAGCTAAGAGGATTAATGCTGAGCAGCCTCTAATCTGACTTTAGAATGGTTAAAGCGAGATGAATACATGATCAACTACATATAGAAGGCGGAAAGTGATGTGTTGCCTTATTGAGGAACACCACAGAAAAGTGATTACGTAAACGATTTCTTACCCACCTTGAAGTTGCCACCAGCACCCTCCCAGATTTCTCCACCATCCTCCTGACATTCCCTTGGTACCACTCGTTCCCCTCCTCCCACCCGCAGCTTTCGTCTCAACTCACTCTTCACCAGATTCAACGCTGGCTCCGGTTTCCTTGCCAAGGTCCCTAATGTTCATCACCTGATGCCCGCTGGTAGTCACATTCCACCCGCACTTAGGCATTACCCACGTCAGCAGCACCTTCGGCGAATCCCATCATTGCCACCTACTGACGATTCTTAACGCGCCGCTTGGTACGTGTATTTCTTAGCAAAGCTCTACCCAATGGACACCTGCGCCGCCCAATTTAAGCTGCTTGACACGCGCGCGTGACGCATCCCAGTAGGTCCAGGGGCCGGATCATCGCTCCCAGCGACCGCATTGTCTCGCATGCACGGAACTTTGTCGCACGTGCAGAAAATGTCGCACGCGAGGGATGTCGCACAGGGGAAGGATGTCGCACGCATATTGTAATGTCGCACAGGCACCGATGTTGCGTGTGAATAGAAACACCGGACAGATCAGCTTCCGTTGAAGCGTCCCTTGGATTTCCCCCACTGGACCAGTTTAACCCTTTGTTCCTGCATCCGACATCCTGTAATCCATGGCTCCCATTTGCGCCACAGCCGGTCGCGTCACGTGCGCTAATGCAGCCGCGCCACGCCGTGACCATATTTGCGTTGGATGTCTGCGCATTCCTTTTCCTGTGCCTCCTCGCACCCACACTTACCTTCCCCCATCCCCGCCTCCCCATTTCCCTCCTTATTTCCGCCCCGCGTGCTGCACAATCTCCGAGCATTTTGCGCGCATTCCGGCGGTGGGTAAAAGCGGTGACTTTCCCCAGTTTTCCCCCCATGCCCCCTTTCCGCCTCCCTTCTTCTCCCCTTCACCCACCGCCCGAATCTTCGCCTTCGGCAAGCAATTTCCCCCCACGCTTGCGCGGACCGCGCGGATCCCCTCTCCCCATCCTTTCCTTAAATTTCCCCTTTTCCCCCCTCACCAGTCTAAGCCCGCAATATCTGCACTCGCTTCCCCTTCCCCCCTCCCCCGTCTCCCCGTCCCTCACCGCCCTGACCTCCGCTCTCCGCCAGCGGTGCGCGCTGCGCGCCGATGTACGCGGTGGGGGCGCGCATCTGGGTGAAGGATGAGGAGGAGGCGTTTGTGGAGGCGGTGGTGACGGCAGTGGATGGCGACGCTATCGAGGCAGACGTGATCGGGCGCAAGGGGCCTCTGGCTAAGGTGCGTTGGTGGACAGATCTTGGAGCGCACTCAAGATTTGCTGGCCAAGAAGCCTTGGATGGGGTGGGGGGGCCGAGGGAGTTTTTTTAGTTGAGTAGAGAATGATTTGGCAAGGTGCGCTGAAGGAAGCGTAGTAAGGACCATGTGGTGCTGCAGTGCGTGTTTTGAGGCGTTTCAAAGCAAGATGGAGAAATAGTGGAGTGGCGAAGGGGAGGGTGTGGAAGTGGAGGCAGCAGGTGTGGCAACGATGGCAGTGACCGTGGCAAAAGGAGCATGCTGTCCGGCAGCATGAGCCGTACTAGAGGAGGGGAGAGTTTTAACAGTGTGGGGAGGCCGTGAGTCACTGCTTCACATGCCAGGCAGGCACCACAAATTTCACTCTGAGGCTCCCTTCCCTACACGCTACCCACTTACACACACCTCCTCTCCCCATAACTTCGCCATTCTCCTCTTCCCCTCTTTCCCCCCCATGATCATGTTTCTTCGCCTTTCGTTTTTTCCTCCTACTCCCCCTCCCCCCCTCCCCTCCTTCCCCGGCGCTTTCCTTCCCCCACTCCACTTTTCCCCCTCCCGTTCCCCCCCTCCCCAGCTCCCCTTCCCCTACCCCCTACTCCCCAGAGGTGCAGGAGGATTTGGGGCGTGTGGACAAGAGGACCAAGCTCGCCCACCTGCACGAGCCCTGATGCTTCTTGCACACGCACTCGCTCTCTCCATTAGTACCCCTCAACGTCCTCCCCTCCCACTCAAACCCCCCCCCGCCTGCCCCCCCCTTTTTCCCCAGGCGCGCCTGAAGGCGTCAGAATGCCACCACAAGGAGGAGGACCTGGGGCTGGTGGACGACATGACCAAGCTCGCCCACCTGCACGAGCCTGGCGTGCTGCTCCCTGCACTGCATGCTCACTCCTTCTCCCCATCAATACCCCCCCTCCAACCCCGCACCGCTTCCCCTTCCCAGGCGCACCTGAAGGCGTCAGAATGCCACCACAAGGAGGAGGACCTGGGGCTGGTGGACGACATGACCAAGCTCGCCCACCTGCACGAGCCTGGCGTGCTGCTCCCTGCACTGCATGCTCACTCCTTCTCCCCATCAATACCCCCCCTCCAACCCCGCACCGCTTCCCCTTCCCAGGCGCACCTGAAGGCGTCAGAATGCCACCACAAGGAGGAGGACCTGGGGCTGGTGGACGACATGACCAAGCTCGCCCACCTGCACGAGCCTGGCGTGCTGCACAATCTCGCCACGCGCTACCAAAAGAACCTCATCTACGTGAGTGCAAGGGGTGCGGTGCGGTGGGGTTAACTGCGACCCAAAAACCTGATTCTCGAGTCGACTCAAAAACCTGGTGTGCTGCACAACCTTGCCACGCGCTACCAAAAGAACCTCATCTACGTGAGTGCAAAGGATGCTGTGCGGTTCACTGCGGCTCTTGAGGCGCCTCGTAGGTCCCTTCGAGGAGCCAGAAAAGTGGTCACAATCCCGATTCTCGCCACGCGCTACCGCACGAACCTCACTTGTTTGAGTGTGTCGCGTGCTGTGCTGTGGCTGCAAACTTACTGCGCAGAGGCCATGCACTGTGCTGCTGTGCAGTGCAGTGCAGTGCAGTCGAGTTCAGTGAAGTGCAGTGCAGTGCAGTGGAGTGCAGTGCAGTGCAGTGGAGTCCAGTGCTGACCTTGCTATCCGTTTCCATCCATCCCAACCGCTTTCTCTCCTCCATACCTGTACTCATACTCTCTTCATTGTTCCCACTTTCCCCTCCCGCCCACCCATTCCTCACCCTGCTGACGTACACGGGAAGCATCCTGATAGCGGTGAACCCGTTTGTGCACCAGAGGTGACTTTCGAGTCGACTCTGCGGTCACCCCTCTTCCACTCCCTCCCTCCCCCCCCACCCACCTCACCCCGCAGACGTACACGGGAAGCATCCTGATAGCGGTGAACCCGTTTGTGCGTCTGCCAGCGCTGTACCACCCGATCATGAAGCTGCAGTACCGCGGAGCACAGCTGGGCGAGCTCGGACCACACGTCTTCGCCATTGCCGACCATGCCTACAGGTGGGTGGATCGGGGAGGGGTCGAAGGGGCGTGCGGGCGAGTGGGGCCTGCTTGCTAGAGCTGGTTAGGCAGTGGAAATGTGGCGCCCTGCCATGCCCTGCAAGAAAGGCTGTGGATGGTGCACGCGCCATGTCATGCTGTCATGCTGTAAAAGGGAGGGGATGGGTTGGGATGATTTAAGCGAAATGGAAGCTCAAAGCCTCACATGAAGCCATCATAAGGGGGTGGCCGACTGGTGGAGTTCCGGCAGTTGTCCAGCAACAGTAGAGCACTCGTGTCTCATGGCTCATGGCTCATGGCTCATGGCATGTCCTCAGTGCCATGCTGTGCTACTCGACCATCTTCCCCTCTCCCTCATCCTCCCTTCCTTTGTCCATCCCCCTTCCTCCTTTTGGCCGGTCGATGGTGGACACAGGATCAAGCCAGTCCGTGCTCTCCTCACCCCTCACTCATCTTTTATTCCCGCACTTTCATCCTCAATCCCTTTCTCTTTCACCCTCCTCCCAACCCCTTTCCCTGCCCAACCCCAACCTCCCTCCCCCCATCCCGGCCCCTCCTCCTCCGCCCACCCCCGCAGGTCGATGCTGGACACGGGGCAGAGCCAGTCGGTGCTGATCAGTGGGGAGAGCGGGGCGGGCAAGACGGAGACAACGAAGCTGGTGATGGAGTATCTGGCGGGTCTGGGGGACACGGGCCCAAGCGAGTGCTTGCTCCCCTTGTCACTTAATCGCCTCTCCCTCACCATCAATCTCAACCCCTTCCGCTTCTCCTTCACCCCCTCAACCCCCACCCCGCACACCCCCCACCCTCTCCGGCCCCCACTACCCCCTCCGTCCAACCCCCGCAGGTCGATGCTGGACACGGGGCAGAGCCAGTCGGTGCTGATCAGTGGGGAGAGCGGGGCGGGCAAGACAGAGACAACGAAGCTGGTGATGGAGTATCTGGCGGGTCTGGGGGACACGGGCCACGACAAAAGCAAGGGCGCGCCCAAGAATGAGGCCATGATTGCCTCCCAGCTCTGCGTGTCCCGAGTGCTCGAGGTGGGGCAAGGGTGTGGGTGTGTGGTGGACTGGGAGGGAGAAGAGGGGGGAGGGTGTGGGAGGGGAAGTAATGGTGTCTGGGGCTGGCTGGGAAGTGCGGACTAAGGGAGGGGGCGTTTGGTGCGCCCAAGAACGAGGTCATGACTGCTTCCCAGCTCTGCGTGTCCCGAGTGCTTGAGGTGGGACAAGGGTGTGGGAGTGTGGTGGACTGGGAGGGAGAAGAGGGGGGATGATGCGGGAGGGGAAGTAATGGTGTCTGGGGCTGGCTGGGAAGTGTGGACTGAGGGAAGGGGCGTTTGGGGTGCGCCCAAGAACGAGGCCATGATTGCGTATCAGCTCTGCGTGTCCCGAGTGCTCGAGGTGGGACGCTTGTGTGGTGGACTGGGAAGTGGGGAGGGTGGGCGGGCGCGTCTAGGCCGGGCCGCGGACTGTGATCCCATCCCGTGGGTCATTTTCCTCCAGAGTCCCGACCAGAACACTATGTCTCAATCCTCGTCCCGTACCCCTCATTTCAACTCCTCTCCCCTCCTCTCCTCCCCTCTCCTCTCCTCCCATCATCCCTGCCCTTCGCCCACCAGTCCAACCAATTGTTGGAGTCCTTTGGGAATGCCAAGACAGTGCGCAACAACAACTCCAGGTACCTGCTGCTGCAACCTGCCACCCTGCCAGGCATGTCTGGCCACTTCAAAAGAGCTTCTTCTGTGATAGTGGGCTTATGGGTGCTACTTCTCCTCTTTTTCCCCAGCCTCCTCGCCCTTCTCCTCCTCGTGCCATAGTTTTTTCTCCTCATTCTTCCCCTTCATGCTAGCACCACTCCTTCGTTCCTCCACCCCCCTGCCCACATACCCACGTGTGCCCTGCAGTCACTTTGGCATGTTCCTTATTATCCAGTTCGATGCAGCGGGGTGTGCGTCGGATGCTTTTTGAGATGTCTCAAATCAAAAGTATTCCTTTGTTTCCCTCTCCCTCCTGCCCGCACCCCCATGTGTGACCTGCATGCAGTCGCTTTGGCAAGTTCATAGAGATCCAGTTCGATGCAGATGGGTGTGTGTCGGGTGCAGCCATCCGCTCGTACCTGCTAGAGCGGTCCAGAGTGGTGCAGATCAGTGACCCTGAGCGCTCCTACCACTGCTTCTACCAGCTCATCTATGGAGCCACGCCTGAGGTGAGGCTTGCCTGTGCAAACTGTTAGTTCTTGCGTGTGCTCATGCACCTGCGAGAGAATGTGTGAGTCACCGAGGTGGTGCAGATCAGTGACCCTGAGCGCTCCTACCACTGCTTCTACCAGCTCATCTATGGAGCCACGCCCGAGGTGAGGCCTGCCTGTGCAATCTGTGTGCTTGTGCTTTCTTGTGAGTGCTTGCATATGCTCATGTGCATGAAAGAGTGTATGCGAGTCATTGAGGCTCAATGTTGAACAGCCTCTGCTCTGCCTGCTCATAAACTCCATTGTCACACCTGCATCTCCTCACATTTGCTTCCATCGCTTCCAACCCTTTTTTATCCCTCCCACTCCAACCCCATCCATTCCGCCATCCCTTTACACCCTTACCTCCCCCCTTCGTTATGTGCCTCCTCTGCAGGAAGCCGAACTTTTCAAGCTGCCCACAACCGGCGAGCGAGGCAAGCAGTTCCGGTATCTGAACCAGAGCGAGTGTTTCGAGCTGCCCGACAGCTGCAGCAACGCGGAGGAGTATCGGAAGACACGGCACGCCATGCAAGTCATGGGCTTCACTCTCGAGGAGCAGGTGAGTGGCGTAACTCATGGCTGGAAGGGCAGCAGTGCTAGAGAAAGGCTTTAGCAAGGAAGAAAACCATGAGTGACGCGGAGGAGTACCGCAAGACACGGCACGCCATGCAAGTCCTGGGCTTCACTCTCGAGGAGCAGGTGAGTATTGTTCTTGATACAGTCCACTACTCCTCCTGTATGTCCATAGCTCCCTCCTCTGCCGTCGGTCCTCCTGTGCCCGTCTGACTGGCCACACTGCAACTGCCAGCAGCCGTTTCCAAATTCCACCTGATGGCAAGGCAAACAGCTCGCCGAACGGATTAGGGTTTTCTCCACGCTCTAGACTAGAGACATACCCCTGGTCACGCCTGTTCGCTCGTACTCCAATTCCCCTAGTTTCTTGTGTGTGCCTGCCTGTGCGTGTGGCAGATGGGCATTCTGCGGCTG